TTTTAACAGGCAGAAACCTGGGACAGAACACATATTCAATTAAATTCAATTCAATTAAACTTTATTTCTATAGCACCACATCCTAATGACAGTTATCTCCTACCTTTCCAAACAGAGCAGGTTAGACTCTGAGTTATTTACAGAAGAACAACAATTCCCACCAAGAGCAGCACTAGGCGACCCAGGGAGGGAAAAACTGCCCTGAACAGGGAGAAACCTGGAGCAGAACCATTGCTCAGGTTTGGGGGTAAGGCCACATCAGGGGGCTCATTCAGAGGATTTCTCCCCTCAGAATGAAAACATTAAGCCTCACATATTCAATTTTATTTTATTTCTATAGCTTCACATCACAACAAAAGGTATTTCCCAGCTTTCCAAACAGAGCAGCTCAGACTCTGAGTTATTTACAGAAGAACAAAAAAAGCAGCACTAGGAGACCCAGGGAGGGAAAAACTGTCTTTAGAAGGCAGAAACCTGGAGTAGAACCATGGCTCAGGTTTGGGGGTAAGGCCACATCAGGGGGCTCATTCAGAGGATTTCTCCCCTCAGAATGAAAACATTAAGCCTCGCATATTCAGTTTTATTTTATTTCTATAGCTCCACATCACAACAAAAGGTATCTTCCAAACAGAGCAGCTCAGACTCTGAGTTATTTACAGAAGAACTAAAATTCCCACCAAGAACAGCACTAGGCGACCCAGGGAGGGAAAAACTGCCTTTAGGGGGAAGAACCAGGGCTCAGGTTTTGGAGTAAGGCCACATCAAAAGGTCTCGTTCAGAGGATTTCTCCCCTCAGAATGAAAACATTAAGCCTCACATGTTCAGTTTTATTTTATTTCTATAGCTCCACATAACAACAACAGTTATCTCCCAGCTTTCCAAACAGAGCAGGTTAGACTCTGAGTTATTTACAGAAGAACTAAAATTCCCACCAAGAGCAGCACTAGGCGACCCAGGGAGGGAAAAACTTCCTTTTAACAGGCAGAAACCTGGGACAGAACACATATTCAATTAAATTCAATTCAATTAAACTTTATTTACATAACACCACATCCTAACAACAGCAGGTATCTCCCAGCTTTCCAAACAGAATAGGTCAGACTGGACTCTAAGTTATTTACAGAAGAACAAAAAAAAGCAGCACTAGGCGACCCACAGAGGGAAAAACTTCCTTTTAACAGGCAGAAACCTGGAGCAGAGCTCAAGTTGGGGGTGAGAGACAGAGAGAGGGCAAGAGAGAGAGAGAGAGAGAGAGAGAGAGACTACACAGTAACACACAAACTGGATTAAAAAATGCTAAAAATATTGATAGTATCTGATCACAGAAAAGGGGTTAAACGGGCCAACAGCTCTGAAAATGTCTCTGTTTTTTTTAAACACTTGCTTCTAAAATGGCTGTCCACGTCTTCCCTCGTATAGAAGTAAAACTCCCCCTCGTTGCTCTGATAGTTGTACGACACAACACCTATTTTGCTTAGCTTAG